TAATTTATAATCAGTCACAAGAACGTCGAATCCGAATCACTTGAAAAAAACACGGGGGTGCTTAACTTTTTTACAGGGGTATAGAATGAAAGGAAGTTCTTATTCATAAATGATAATTCTACATTAATATAAATAAAAAAAGGTTTACTACTTTCAAAAGTTACTTGTGTGTGTATGTGTGTAATAGTATTTCAGTCTTAGGCAAAACGCTTAAAAATCGTTAAATGTAGGCACACAAACCGATGGAAGTGTGTCTCATTTTTTGTGAAAACATAAAAAATGTCATTTTCTTTTTATTTATTTATAAGTTATAAAGGTTAAAAATCTTTATCTGGGCTTGTATTTTTTTAAAAAACAACACGATTGTCAAGAAGGCTATTTTCGATGTTCATGCAACAAGTCTGTATTTCTGGTTGAATACTGGGTTAAATGGATGTGGTATAAGAACTAAGCATACGTTTCATGGATATCCTAAAACTCTTGAAACATACAAACCACTAAAAAAAGTCAAAGTAAAAAACATACTTTTATAAGGATAATGGTTCCATTCGTCTCCACGTTTGTTAGAACTAAGTTCTTGAGAATTTAAGAACTTTTGCAGCAGAAAGACATGTTTGAAAACTAATAAATAACCTTTTCTTTTAACTTTCTAGTTCTGGATTTTGGCAACGTTCCCCAACACTTGCTGGAGCTTTTACAAACATACAGAAAAACTCAGTTTCAATCTTATCATATGCGCAGATTTCTTTCACTACCAGTTTGATACTGAGGATAGTAGTTAACAATATATTGGCCGGTTCTGTTGTGCACACGACCTTTCTCATCATGTTCTGTCATTTTCTGTGTATCGGTCTGCCTGTCTGTGTGAAACGCCAATCACACCCAAACTATTGGGCAAATTGCCACCACATTTGACACACAGACCAAATTGGACCTCCTAATGAACATGGACTAGTTGGTTTTGGGCTCCTAAGTGCAAATTTGCACATGCGCAGGACTATCTCCTTAATCCCTTGACCTAGGAAACTCAAAAGTTGTAGGATAAAAGCTCACTCCGCTATGGTGAAGATGTGCTGTAGTGTGGTCCTAGTGTGTGTGTGTGTGTGTGTGTGTGTGTGTGTGTGTGTGTGTGTGTGTGTGTG